CCTCGGTCAATCATTCTCTCTCTCCTTCCCAGTGCCTCTCCCACCACAAGTTACCCAAGCCAGCCCCAAGAACTGCGGAGATGTGGAGCAGAACATCCAGGCTCTGCTGTCTCCGACAGGCCACGAGATCCTCTCGGTAATGGGGCTGGAAGGATCGGACGATTCCGACGATTCACCTAAGAGTAAGTTGTGAAACTGATGCTTAACGGGGGGAGCTACCCTTGAGGAACATTTTCTATGTTTGTTTCCTGAGATCAAATCTAAGCACATATATAAATTCGACATAGTGAAATCTCTTGATATGCAATTTTATTTTGACATAGCTACAGTGGCTGCAATGAAAACGGCCGCCATCTTGAAAATATACAATGCATTTCAAATCCATAAGGCTGTCTTATTTACTGACCAAATTTGACCTAATTTGGTGGGAGTATACCTGAACCAGACCCTTCTATCAGAATAACAGCAAGTTTTCTTTCAATAAGTGCAAAAGAAAAAAAGATATGAGAATTTTCCCAAAGTATACAACTTGACTTGCCGTCTATGTTTCCTGAAAGTTTCATGTCAAAAGAATGAAAACTAAGGAAGGGGTAGGGAAAAAACTACCCTCCAAAAAATTACATTTTGCGAAAAACGACAATAATTGTGAAAATACACAATCATAATTCATCCTCATGTTTTCAGAGGCAATTTACCAGGAGAATAAAGGGGGGCTCTCGTGGCTTAGAGGTTAAGGTGTTGGCCTCTCATTCAAAGGTCCTGGGTTCGAATCCGGTTAGCGACCGAAAAATTTTCTTCTCTAAAAATGTCTCCTTTCACCTCCTTTCCTGCTCTCTGGCAATGTTCTGTTGTCTGCTTTCAGTTCCACTTTCTGCCCCCACTCCATCACCCCCTTTGCCCCCTCCTCTGGGCTCCTGACTCTTTCTGCAGCCTTTCTACTGCTACTCATTGGCTCCTCCTTACCGTTGTCTCTCTGCCACACCCCTGATCTTCTGGTAGTAAAGATCTACACATAACCTTCTCGGACAAGGGCGAAAGATCTCGGAAGGCCCGTGTGTAAGTTGCGCACGTTAAAGATCCCTTGGTGGTCTAAAATCGATAAGAGTAGGCTTTGGCCACCCGGGCAAAATTCAAAATTTCCTACCATCTGAAAATATTAGGTGTGTCCCTTATGCAGTTGCGAGCGCCGTAAAACACTTTACAAAAACAAACAAGGAGAATAAAGACTTTTCCATTGTATCCATGCTATTTTTAGACAAAAAACAACAACAACAAAACAACTGGTTGATCTTCAAAAAACAGCCAACATAAACAATGTATAGCTTGACCCAAAATCTGCAAAATCAAGGGTCGCTCCTTCCCTTAAGTGATAGAATAATATTTGTAGGTGGTTGGCGGGTGCTCTGGTGTGGTTTGCTTCTTATTTCCTATCAAACATCCATCATCCTTATCTCCCCTTCTTCTTTTTTATGTTTGTTATTCTCTTGTAACACCTCTAATCTTCTGGCGCTCATATGACCGTATGAAGTTGCGAGCGCCGTAAAACCTCTACTAAAACTAAACAAAAAGAATAATTTTTTTTTTGTTCTTTTGTTTTAGTGAAACATAAGTTGTGTTAGTAGTTCATGTGCAAGCGGTACAATATTATTTGATTACTTGCTTTTATTCCGAGTGATACGGTCGTGGGAGAAAAAAAAGTAGGCTAAGACAAAGAAATAGAAATAAGAGGGAGAACAAAGACGTTGACCAACCAACCAGTGGCAGCGTCCAACCTCTTCATTTAGCACTACTCCTAGCTAGTGCTGTTGATTGGCTCGTTGAGGATTGGCTCTTACTTTTGTTCGAGCTAATGAGATTTGCTCCTTCTTTCCTATCGAATGGATAGCTGTCATCCTGATCTCTCCTCCTTCTTTTTTTTGGTGTTTGTTACTCTCTTGTTGTAACACCTCTAATCTTCGGCCTTTATATGACCTCATTGTGTTGCAAGTGCCGTAAAACTCTTACTAAAACTAAAATGAGATTTGCCTAAACACAATAACGGTTATTCCAAAGAAAGACAAAGCCGAGAAGGACTAAACAGAAATCACTGACGTGTAGAGAAGAAGCAGGACCGACCCATGCCGCCCCCCGTAAAAATGACTCCACGGGGGAAACGTACTCGGGTTTTCTGCTAGCTGCGGTCAAGCACCTAACTTCTGCACCACATACGCCGATACCAAGATAGACGCCGGTTCCACTTGCTGCAGGGTGGGTAAGAAACCATTAGCAGCTGGCAGTCAGGACTCATTTGTTCACATTCACGTGAGGGGCTTGCGTGTGTACAGCACATATAATTAGGAAATATGTACTCACTTAGAGTTACACGTGCACATGGCTAGCTCATTAGCCGCAGACTTTTCCATTTTTCTTTATAGGTGTTGATCTATTTATTACATGTACATATTACAGGATAATTGTCTGAGCAGTGATGGAAAGTAGTAGGTTTTTCTGAATGTGTGTTGTGTGTGTGTATGTGTGTGTGTGTGTGTGTGTGTGTG